AAAGAAACCTTATATGTGTTTGTCCCCAAACTAGTACTTTTTATGTAAAGTGAAGAATGAGGACTGTCACCATTCGCTGATATCTTGCTTTTTTGCTGCCAGTACTTGGAATTGGTTTTAATGCTATTTGGGTGTAGGTGGAATTTGCCCTCTGAAGAAAATCTACTCTTTGAACCGTTTGCCTTTGGGCGACTGACAAAGAGAGGGAACTTAATGTGGAAGTGCATAAGAGCAACTGGTTTGTGGACAATTTGGGAGGAGAGAAATGCTAGAATTTTTCAAGAGGAGAGAAGTATTGCTGATGTAAAGGAATGTATACTGACAAGGACAATTTTCTGGTTGAAAACTTCAGACCTGTTCATGAACTCTTACGATGATTTAAGGAGGAATTGGGCAGCAATGGCATCCACAGCTGCCACAAAGAACAGACTACAAGCTGAATGGAATCCTCCTTAGCAAGAGTGGTTAAACTAAATTTTGATGGAAGCAGTCATAGTCCAGGGCCCTCGGGTATAGGAGGGATCTTGAGAGACAAGGATAGCAACATCCTATCCTTGTTCTCAGGACCAGCGGGAGTTGGAGAATCTACAAGGGCTGAGATATTAGCACTGGTGCAAGGTTTACAAGTTGCTTACCAATTGGGAGTCAAGAACTTGATAGTTGAGTGGGACTCCAAGGTGGTAGTGGGCTGGCTATCGAATCCAGAAACAGTTTTTTGGGGTTACAGGGACCTTTTGAAGAAAGTTAATTGGCTGACAAGGAATATGGCAGTTAGCTTTCAGTGGGTCAGCAGAACAGCAAATGCTATGGCTGATTCCTTGGCTAAACAAGGGGTATCAAGGGGTGATTTGTTGTGGGCTACCTTGTAATTGTAATTTCCAGTTAGAGTGTGCTTTTTATCAGTGTTCAGCTCTAAGGGGAGGTAACACCTCGTGCCTCCTTTTAGGCTAATTGTACACTTCTCCTATGCCTAATAAAAATACCATTCATTTATCAAAAGAAAAAATGTTGTATTACTGTCTAAGATAAAAATGGAGGAACTGTGCAAGACCCATGGGTGCACACTAGTGTGGAATGATTTGGTGCAAGTAGAAGGCTCTTAAAGAGCAAGGAGAAGATACATGTGCTTATTTATGTAGAGCAAGTTGGAAAGCTACCTTCTACTTATTAACCTCCTACACTTTTGCTTGTAGTATCTAGGAGTATCTAGCAAGAGGATAATTTGGAGAATGCAAGGGCTGTAATACCATGGCTCATATGGAACCTATCCAAAAAAAACATGGCCCATATGGGAAGGAGGAAACACAAGAATCTTTAAGGAAAAAACCATACAAAAGGTCTTGATGGAAAATATCTGGATTAAGGTTGTTCACTGGGTTAAGCTCTTGTGAAAACCTTTAAGTCATTTTCTATTGAGGATATCTTGAGATGATGACAAGTTACGATTGCTTCTACCTCAACAGGAAGAACAATACAAATTTGTTGGCATTCTTTGAAACTAAACCAAATAAAGCGAAACTATGATGGACACAGCTTAGGGAACCCATGAAGGTCCATTGGTTGACTCCATTGGTGCTCTTTGAGGTTAGCGATGGTGTGGTTTTGGCATTATACTCTGGACCTGTTGGCCAAGGTGACTCAATGAGGGCTGAATTATTAACACTACACCAGGGACTAAAATTGGGCAAGACATTAAATTATAGAATTCTCCTGGTAGATTGAGATTCCTCAGTAATAATTGACTGGCTTCCACGTTATAATCCAAGAGTGTGGCATTGTAGACATATAGTGAGAGAAGTTAGACATAAAGATTGGCTAACAGTTTGGTAGATGCCTTTGATAAACAAGGAGTGAACAAAAACCAATTCTATTGGGGATAACTAGTTAACTACTAGGGAATCTGGACCGTATTAATAATATGAAATGGAAATGTAAGGAGGCATAGTCTGTCCAGGATGTTAAGGCTGCTTGGCACAATTCTTTGTAAGGTAGCAAAGGCTACTAGAGAATCTGAACCCTATTGACAAGTGTGTATATGTGTGTCTTAATATAGCACAATTGGCAGGACACGATTCATATAGCCAACCCCAAGTAGTTGGAAATAAGGCTAGTTGAATTGGAGACACATGGGAAGTTCTGTTAAATGCAACATGGATGATTCCAGTAACCATCTTTCTCTTAGTGCTATCCTGGATTTTACATGCCATAGTCACATTATGCAGATAAAGACCAACTTAGTTGGCGAATCTGACTAGCGGTTATTTAGAATCTGCAAATGAGCCTACATGTTCATTTCTTTGAATGAATTCTGGAGAGTGCTCGTAAAAATTGTTAACTCCTTAACAGCTGGAGAGTACAAGGCCTAAGCAAGAAAGGGAAAATTTTATGGCATCTGATTCCAGGTGCCGTATTATGGTCGATATGGCAAGAAAGAAACTCAAGGATATTTCAAAACAAAAGCTGTCATGAAGATGAAGTGTGGCAGAAGATCCTGCAGAAGCTGTTTTCTTGGTCTTTGATTCAGTTTAAAGTTGACAGTTCTTTTTATAGTTATCTTTTTGACTTTGAAAGTCTGTTTGTCTCTCCCAATGGGTTTGTGGTTTGAGTGCTTTTACTTCTAATGAATTGATACTTCTCAAAAAAGTTGTCAACCCCTTAATATGAATTTGGAGCACCCAAGGACCATAAGAATTAAGGACCATCCACTGCCACATCCACCTTGTAACATTCTGGGAGACAGGAGAGGACTGGTTGAAAAGTTGAATAACAAAACAAAAAACACATAAAGAAGGATAGCAGGAGGCTAGCTTAGGGTTTTTTGTGATATGTGACAGCTCACTAATATATGACTAGTTGGCTTCAGTTCAGTTTACAATTAACTAAACCGAAACTGAACTGACTATTTGGGTTCCGCATTTCACTAAACCGAAGCGAACAACTTTATTTGGGAACTGACCAATTGGGTTGAGTTGGGCCAGTTTGGTTGTTTTTTACTATTTGGTGAACAGCCCTACTGGCTACTAACAGGGTCTTCCACATCTATCCACCTTTGCTGTTCTAGGAATGAATCCTTCATATTGAAAATCATGATTAAATCTGTATAATTAAAAGTATAACCTTTTTTCATAATCTCAAAATTAAATGAAAGATCATTTATCTGATTATTCTGTTCCGATCTTTTTGATATTTCTGTTACATTTCCTTGTTTGGGTATTCAGGAAGCATGGTCCATTTCCAATTTAGCAACTGAGATCTTTCTACACTGGTTTCTGCATTGTGTGTTTGTTTTCTTCTAGTGTTTTTGATCAATAATATTTGGTTTCTTCTATTGCTCATTCAGTTGTTGATAATTGAAGTATTGATACCAAATTACCAATGTTTCATACAAAAAGTGTAGCCTGACAACAGTTTTTCTTCTCTTCTTTTCTTTTTTTTTTCTGATGTTTGACCTTTTCTTTTGAAATCTTTGGAATGGTTGTGGGTACTCCTTGAGTCATGAGTTGACTTTATGTCTGACAATGATCGCAGGGTCATTCTCCATTCTTCAAGTTCACTTATAAATTAGCGCTGGATTTGTTACCCAATAGCTGGGGTAGATGAAGTTATTCTGGTATTAAAATTTGTTTGTACTTGAAAAGAAAAAGAAAATTGAAAAAAAAAGTTTATGTATGAATTAAAAAGAAGGAAAAGAAAGAAAAACTAAGAGAAGGCAAGTAAGGGATACTCCCTAGATGGCCATAAGGGAAGATAGAAAGAAAAGGAAAGGAAAAAAACAAAGAATTGCACCATTTTTTTGAAGTGAAAGTGAACAAAAAAATGAGGGGAAAACAGATAAGTTTCCTATAGCAACTAAAGAAAATGGAAAAGAAAAAGACCCCATGATTGGAAATATTTTAGTGTGATGGCGAAAGAATTCCAGCTTGATGTGAATTGAAAGGCAAGTTCCTGGCATATGCTGTCTTAGCTGCAGAAGACAGAGTTCTACTGGTGATGGTCGTTAGTTCATTGGGAACATCTGATTTACCTTGCAACATTTGGTGAGGGATCTTTGATCTCTTTTTCATGACTCTTGTTCTCATGTGGTTTGCCTATATATATGATAAAATACAAGTGATGTTTTCACCAAAGATTCATTGTGACTGCGAAATCATACAAAGTTTACAATATTTTTCTTTGGGAGTTGTCTCACATTTTAGTATTTCATGGATGTCTAAAGCGTATTTGATTGTCTAATACAACTGATGGCCACACCAGCCACAAGATAAAAGGTTTTGAATATTGCAAAATTATCCTACTATCATTGCTGGAGATGTTTTGTGTATTTTTTTTGCTACAAATTATATCTCAACAACATTTCGTACTATCATCATTTCTAGATTTATTTGTATAAATATATGAAAACATTTGCACATTACTCCCATAGGAAGGTGATATTTTATCCTTGATTGAAAATTTCGCATCTTGCAGCTCAAAACACTGTAAGTGCCCCTGGGGGTGTGCAGAAATCTTACTCTATAATATCAAAGTCAAATCCATTAAGAAATCATCAGTGGTCTCAAATTAGAGAATGGAATCATCAGAAAGATTCTGAAGAGAGAATATGTGTGGAAGTTCCTTTCAGTCTCTTTCATAGATAATATACGAGTAAAAGATTATATTTGCATTTAATGTGGTTAGTTGAGTAGTAAAATTATGAAGATAAGCTTATCAAACAACAATCTGGAAATAAAACTGTGTCAGCTCATGCTGTATAAAATGCATGCTTTTTCAAATTATGGGATTTTACCATGTTATTCATAAAAGAATTACGATGTAGTTGCTATTGAAAGTGGAGCTTGTATCATACACTAAATTTTTGACACTTGTAGTTATGATTAGCATCTGTTGTTCCAAATTCCAATCATTGTTCCACTGCTGCTAAATATATCATTTCCAATTGCTCCTGTTGTTCCAATCTTACTAAATTGTTATTCAAAACTACAAATCTATTATATTTGTAGGTTGATTATTCATGCACCCCAGAGGAAGTGCAACAGCATTTCCAATCATGTGGAACAGTGAACAGAGTCACCATCCTGACTGACAAGTTTGGCCAGCCAAAAGGTTTTGCTTATGTAGAATTTCTGGAAATGGAAGCTGTTCAAGAGGCTCTCCTTCTGAATGAATCTGAATTACACGGTCGCCAATTAAAGGTTAAAATTCTTGTAATTCACAGACGTGCATCTTCAGTTTCAGGGTCGAAATTTTCATACTAACATGCATGCACCTTGTGAATATGGCATCCTTGCAGGTTTTGCCTAAAAGAACCAATATTCCTGGGATGAAGCAGTTCCGTCCAAGACGCTTTAGCCCATACTTGGGGTGCCGATTCAGGAGGCCTTATGTGCCTCCTTACTTCTACTCTCCATATGGGTACGGGTATGTTTCTGTTTGTCCCATGCACTCTTTTCTTTTCCCTTCTTCCTGTACTATGGATAACTCTCCTCTGTCTTGTTTTTCTCTTATCAGTGTTATTTTACTGAATTGTTGAGAAATATGTTGTTTGCCTACTGCAGAAAGGTTCCTAGGTTCAGAAGACCTATGCGTTACAGGCCCTACTGCTAAATGGTAGTTCACTGAATGGACGATAAGTACAGAACGCTCTTTCGGGAGATCGTCCTTGAAGAATAATAATGAGACCATCTTTTTAATTTCTTTGCTCTTATTGCTACTATCAATATCGGACATTGTGACCTCTCCAAGGTAAAGAGCAAAGCTTGTCTAATACTCTCTGCATGAGCATGAGGGTAAACAATGTAATTATGATGTTTGGATAAATCCTAAACTACGTGATTATGAATTATCGTCTCTTTATGTCAGTCATTTCCAATATCAGGGATTTGCTAGGGCGCCTCTGAGACTGAGGCATGTTTCTCGGATCAGGCAACTTGGTGGCTTTTAAGTTTTAACTGTTGCTTATGGAGCTACGAGGAAGAGGAATACGAGGGCATTGTTCCTTGAATTGTGGATCTCCAGAAAGTATTTCAGTTATCTGGATCATGGTTTTAAAAATGCCGTTGACCCGGGTGGTTGAACCGTTCAACCCAGAAATTGGTCATTTTCGATTCCATTTAAAGCCTAGACTGTTTTATAAAAAAAAAAATGTTGATTTAATCATAAAAATGCTGACCCGTTCAACCCGGGTAGCGGTTTGCAGGTTGATGTCAAGAAACCTTAACATCCTCGTTCATTTCTTTTCTAGTTTGCACAACCGCTGATCTCTCTAATTTCTCTTCTCCACTAAAGACTTTTCTCTTAAACTCAGATGAGTGAACAAGGGATTTCAGTTTCTAAGCATTCAAGGTTTTACCTAGAGTAGATGGGAAAGGCCGTGAGGGTTTCGTTCTTATTCTCCTCCTATTACATGTTTTACTTTTCTTTTTCTACGAAGAACTATACAGAGGGATCGAACAACAAAGGGGTTTCACTTTACCCCTACTCAAAATTCGAAATATGAAAAACAAAAGGATTTGCAGATTATTTTGCAGGTTAATGACAAAAGGATTTGTCTTTCACAAAGGGGATCCACTTTAATTATTTGAAGACAAAGGGATTTTATCTTTTCACAAAGTCCATCAGAACGACAAAGGGGTTTCACTTTGATTAATTTGTAGATTTAAGAGAATAAATCAAAGGTTCTCTGTGTTCTCCGTTGGATTTTGTAGTTTTAGTTCTGATGGATATTTTTACATAATTCTTGTCAGATTTCATTCCAAGACCTTAAATCATTAATCGAATGAAGCACAGAATCGTTGATTTTATATATATATATACCCTTTACCTATTTGAAGAATACTTCTCTATGCCCTTAGAGGTGTAAATCAGGCCGTTCTGTCCATGGCCCGTGTGCTGACACGACCCATATATAATTTTATTATATTATTTTATTTTATTATTGTATATATAAACAATTGTATGCATAAAAATTCATATAAAATAAAATTTTAAAGTCTTTTTAATTTATATTAAAATTTTCCTTACTTTTTACAAAATTTTTAAAAAACATGGCTTGACCTGGTTCGTGGCCTGGCTAGTCCAAGACTTGGCCCATGGACCAGCTCAGCCCACGACACGGCACTGGCTCAGGCCATGGGCCGTGCCAGACTGACCCCCCAAAGTGCCGTGCAGTGCCGGCCTAGCACAACCCAATTTACACCTCTATATGTCCTGCACTTCAGTACTCTTTCATTCATTCTCTCTACCTGTTTACCCTCCAACTCTTTAATGGTTGCTTACGCCCATTTGCTGATGTTTCACGAGCATTCAACTCTAAATATGCCCATTTGCTAATGTTTCACGAGCATTCAACGAGCCCTGTTTTGATGTAGATTGGGTAAAGTTTTTTGGAATGATTACAAAATACAAATATGTAGAATGCAAAACCTTCTATAATTGAACCTAAATAGCATAGAAATAGAAAGTAGTGTTGCAGAGGGCACTTGCGCAAACATATTCGTTTGCAAAAGCCAAAAGAGATGTAACCTTGTTTAAATTTCCCTCCCCCAATCACCCTTTATCCACAGTGGGAGCTCTGGCGCAAGTGAAAGACTAGGCTATTGTGGGAGCCTTAATGCATGATCACGTTATCATGAGCGTGGGTAAAAGAGCTTTTTTAACCGATTCTTTTAGTTTAAAAAGACAGATTAACAAGGGCCCTGCCAAATAAAGTAACAGAAACCCCAAACCTTTTTAATTAGAAGTTATTTTTGAAAAAAATTAAAATAAATAATATATATATATATATAATATAAATAAATATATTTTAATAGTAATAGGTTTTCATCAAAATTCACGGGGAGGGGAGTATGGGTGGGGGGTTGTAATTGGTCAAAGTCTTGTATTATATAATCAAGATCAAGGAGGGGTAGGGACTTTATGTTCCATCCCCATTACTACATCCCTAATCAGGTATTACTATTAATCTTTGACCTAAAGGGATAAAGGAAATTGAGTATCCAACGGGGTCGGGGAAATTGTCATACTTACCCCTCCCTCTCTCTCTCTGCCTCTCATGGCATTGGTCCTACACAACCCCTCTTATAATATGACACATAATATAAAAATATTTTATATAAAAAACAAATGCATAGAATGAGATTCTGCCATGTCTGGTCTTGGGCTTATATTTCAAGCTTGGAACTGAACGCATCAACTGTGGACATTATTTTTTTCTAAAAAAATTGTAGAAATTAGGTCATCGAGATTTTTTAACCTTCTCCACTACCCTTAAACATTGGATTCAAAGTGAGAAAGGGAGATCATATATAACATTTTATATTTATAGGTATAAATTAAAAAATATATTTTTTTTGTTTAAATTCTAGTCAGATGACCCGAAATATTGGACTTGGAAAGAGTGAATATTTTATATTTATAAACTTTGTTTTTATAAATTTAAAAATATTTTTCAGTTTAAATCTGAGTTTGATCTAAAGTTGGATGATCCAAAACATTGAACTAAAAGAGAAAATAGAGAGAGATTATATAATATTTTTATATTTATAAATATAAATTTGAAAACATTTTGTGTAAATCCGAATTGATATAGGAATTAAGTTGGATGACCCAAAATATTGGACTTTGAGAGAGAGAGAAAGAGAGTGATTTATGTTTAAATATGAACCCAATCTTATGTCAAATGACCCAAACATCTAACTCGGATAGAGAGAATAATTTATATTTATGGATAATATTTTATTTAATTTAGTAAAATAAATAATTTATTGTTGGGACGAAACTAGTAGAGACTATCTCGAACTTGACCAAACCTATTGACAACCCTAAATATTGGGATTGGGGATTCTAAGATTTTGTTAGTAAATTATTTCTAAATAAATTATTAATTAATTGAATAATTTAGTAAGTTAAATAAATATTATTATTGGAAAGAGATTGGTACAAGCTATCATGAACTAGATTTTGTTGATAACCCTAAATATTGAGCTCGAGGAGAGAGAGAGATTTAATAAAATAAATAAATAAAGAAAGAAAGAAAGAAATAACTAAGAGTTTATTGGGATGGGACTATAGGTATAAATTGGGTCGTTCCGCCTGTGGCCCAGCACAACCTGGCCTGAATTTGGATCAGCACGACACAATAGAGCACAGGCCGTGCCAAGCCTGACACGATGGTCTGGGTTGTGCTAGGCCTGGGGTTCCAAGTCCATGGGCTAGCATGGCATGGCCCACAGGCCCGTAGCAACTTTTGCTCAGCCCGCCCGATGAACTAGCCATTAGGGGGGTCCCCAATGGCTAGTTTCAGCTTTTTAGCGGTTTTGTTTTACAGAAATACCCCCCAATTGCTATAAATAGCTATATATGGGGGTGGGGGTATTTATGTATTTTGGTTTTAGGGGGAGAAAAAATAACACAAATGCCCCCCAATAGCTATATAACTAGTTTGAGGGGCATTTTTTATTTTCAATTTGTAACTATATTATATTTTTTATATTTTATTAATTTATTCCATTTTCTAATTTTCTTATTTCATTCATCTAACCATTGTATGCTTTGTATCATTCAATTTTAAATGAAATGAAATTCCTATTTTTCTTCCAATTTGTTGTTCACTTTGAGTCGTTGTCTCTTTGGCTTCTTATTTGGTTAAGTATTTTTTTTTTCATTTCTTTGTTAGATTTCTTATTTTTTCAAGTAGTTCCCAAAGGAAAGTTAACTATTTTAGTTTTACTTAGCAAACAAATAAAAAATAAAAAATGTAAAAAAAAAAACCAGTCTAGCCCGGTTCGGCCCATGCCCAAGGCCCAGTCCGACACAACCCAGGCCCATGGCACAACATACAGCCTGCCCGTTCTAGGCTCATAGCACAACACAACACGAGCCCGCATGAGCTTGGGTTGTGGGCCGTGCCGGGCCGACCCCTCAAATTATCCCTGGGAGGGCGACACGACCTAGAACGGTCCACGGGGCATAGGTGCGCCATGACGTTTACACCTTGGGCTATAAATGAATATATCCTAACCCCATCATTGTACTTGCGTAGCATGGAGATTTTTGAATTTGCCCTACTCCCCACTTTTGGCTTCTACTTTAATTTTTTAATATATTATATACTAGTGAAGGGGGTCCTGCGTTGCAGGGGCTCGCTCATAAACTATCAGGCTCGAGCTTGATTCAAATTAGAGACTTGAGCTTGAGCTCGAGTTTGGCTCGAGTCAAAAGCTCAGAAGTTTAAGCTTGGCTACCTTTGATTGCAAGTCTCTCAAGCAATCGAGGTGTCAAGCTAAGGTCTTCCTTAGTTGTCAAGGTGCTGAGCCGAGATTTCCTTCAGTGACCGAGGTGCCGAGTTGAGGTCTCCCTTAGTGGTTGAGGTGTCGTCTAGCTCGAGCTCGATTCGAATTAGAGACTTGAACTTGATCTCAAAAGTTCAAGCTCGGCTCAGCTCAAACTCAACTTCCTTTGATTGCAGGTTCCCTAGCAGCCGAGTTGTCGAGCTGAGGTCTTCCTTAGTTGGAGAGAGAGTGGCATTCTTGTAATTTATAAGGAGAGAGAGATGGCATTCTTGTAATTTGTAAGAAAAAGAGAGAGAGAGAGAGAGAGTTGGTATGAGAGAGTGGCATTCTTGTACTTTCTATGAAATAAAGACAAAAAATAGTATTAGATTCCATTTCCCTCATCCTCATGCCTTCTTACGTACACATTTCAGCTTAATATATTTATATAGATTATAAAGTATATTATGCTATTTTAATGAGTTGTCATAAAGGGTTGAAACTTAACCATTTTTTTAATAAATTCATCTAAAAGTCCTAAAATTTTTTATGTCTTTTAATTGAGGTGGGTTCAGGGTCGAGGCTAGGGG